TGAAAAGAGGCAAATACCGGATTACCGTGTCTCATAAAATCATAGAGTCAACCAGATTGGAAAAGACCTTTAAGATCATCAAGTCCAACCATTACCCCTAAACTGCCAAGACCACCACTAAACCATATCACTGAGGGCCTCATCTACGTGAGGAAATAATGTTCTGTGTCACAGGAAATAACTACGTTTTATCAGTCAGAGTAAAGTCACCATATAACTTTGAATTATTTTGAGGGGAAAAAGACATCAGATGCACATATTCAACATTAACTGTTATGAAACAGATTTTGAAATTATTTTTGAAAGAGAACTACATCGATCAGTAAGTAAAATACAAATCTCAATTGTTGACTGCTTTTATTATCTTAATGGATCATTTTGGTAATGCAGGCTAGATGTCAGAAAACGCAACTCCTCATTAAATATCTTGTCTGCTCATAACTTAAAAGTGTATTGTAAGAAGTGTGGCATTTTAAGAAAGCTCAGTTGAACCAAACAAGTTCAATACCTAATAAAAACTATTCATAACACTAAATACTAGAATGCGTTTTGGAATTATGAAAATATTTAGCAAGTGGGAAATCAGATGTTTTCAAAACTAGTAAATTCCAAACTCTTCAAATGCTTGTTTCTTTAGGAGGAATTTAACCAGCTCACAAAAGAAAAAAGACCGAATGGAATATGACTGACTTGGAGTGATACAGAAAATGTTTGATAACCTGATTATTTCCATCAGCTATATACCCTAATTTGCTTCCTTGTTGGAAAGCCAGCCAACTGAACAGAATAAACTGAATACTGGTTTCTACTAATTTACCTCATTAAATGGAAAACCAAATAATTTCAAAGGCCAAAGTGTCTTTTCAAAAGGAAGGTCAATATTGCAATACATGTTACAGACCACAGCCACACAATAAATTTAAGATGCTTTATAATATTTATCCATTTATTGGCATTTTAATTTACGTTCTGGGGTATATTGCCTTGACACCTATACAGCAACAGGTATGTTATAAGAATATTACTGTACAGCTACCCAGTTCAGTTGAATAAGCAGAATGGTCATTGATCACAACTGCACAGACAAGTTCTTACCTTGTTTAGCAGCTCTGACCCACCTTCATTTAATGGAGCCAGTTTTGGTTTAATGAGATCTGCGCTGGGCTAAAGAAATGAAAAAGGTTAAAAATGTAAATTATACAGATTTCTAGGAGGAAGAAAAGTATGTCTTTAGTGTGTAAAACAACTACTGACAGTTGGTTTGGCTTTGTTTTGTAAATCACCTTTTCTTAGTTCCAAAAGTTACATACTTCACTTTCAGCTAAAGCTAAACAAAAATACTACATAGAGACATAAAAGGGTTGCAAACTTGAATTTACAGAAGACTACCAATGCTGCAGCAACTAAAAGACAAAAAAGTAAGGAAAACAGAAAAAAATATTTGAGTGATTATAAAAGTAAAAAATATTTACACAGCTCCAAATAGTGTTTTAAGTATTCAAATATAATATATATTAACTAAATATACCTTTACACTACAAACTAAGTAAGGTGAAACCATAATCATACAAGGTAAGTTAGAGTCACATCTCTATTGTGGAATCTTCTCAGCTCTCGACTCCATGCTGGGATAAGTGAATATCCCAATTCCAGAGGAATGAGATGCTCCAACACATCCCTAGTCTGGCTGACTTTGGGATGAGGATTATAAAGCATGCCCTGGATGTGCAAAACCCGCAATCTGGAAACAGCCAAGGCAATTCAGTGCATTGAGCACTGGTGCCAAACTGCAAAACACTACACTTCTTGGAGACTTTCAAAGATTGTTTTGAAAAAGGTGGTTTTATTTGGGTTTGTTTTTTTTCTCTCTTAAGCACAAAGTCAGTCCTAAGTATTTTCAACACCTGCCATGAGTCCACATGACATGATTATGATTTACTTAAAATAAAATACTACCTTCTTGTTTGAAGATGTACATTCTGACTTTTCAAACTCAGCAACCTGTTCCAACAATTCTCTTGAGAAAAAAAAAAGGAAGGCAATTATTTACTAAAAGAGCTATTTAATGAAACACATTTTGCCACACTGATACTATGCTCTTTATTGCATGTAAGATTCTCATTACAAGTACAGAATGAAGTCCTATGCACATACAATAAGTGCAACAGATCACGTCATGAAATGGCATGGTATATCCATTAGAACTGTAGGATTTAGCACCCTTGATTAAAATATAATCTACTCAGAAAACAAAAGGGTTTTAATCAAATCCTATCACTTGCTCTTAACTGATTAATTCAAGTAAAAGTATTACTAATAAAAACATCTTCCTAACAGATGTGAAATTATTGTGTATCTTGATACTATACAGATGGAAGACTTGACACTAACCTATCATCAACACAATGTAAAAGAATAGGTTTCTATGGTAAGGAAAAGAATGTGAATAACCAACACTTTGAAGTTTTCTTTTACTGAAAGGCATTCTGTACAGCCCAAAATATGTTACCTATTCTCCAGTTCAGAGATGTCTGTCTGTAACTTCAGGTACCATTTCTCAGCCTGCGAAAAGATTTGCCGCAGAACTAACACATTGGTGTAAGTTGTATTTATGAGCTCTGACTCCACTTCACTGTGTACAACAGTCTGCAGTCCATCCAGCATGTCTGTCACCTCATCGACTGTGAAGGTCTCCTCAACAAGCCTAAACAGAGCAGTCAAGGTGAGTCATGTATGATAAAAGTAACAGTTTTGCATTGTTATGAGACCTCAATATACAGATATCAACCTTACATATTGCAGTGTTCTTCTGAAAATATTCACTATGACTACTTATTCAATGACCATGGCACTACTACCTGGTTGTTGTATTTATATTTTCTCTTGGAAACACAATCACAAATATGACATTACTTTATATTTTGCTTCTGATGTCTAAATTTGATGCAAGCCTGCAGCAGAAGTAATACAGAACTCTATGATTCTGTGGTATTATTCCTTCTGCTGCAGGCTTGCATCAAATTTAGACATCAGAAGCAAAATATAAAGTAATGACATGCTGACAATGTCTGTGTTAATTCCTAAGACTCTGAACTAGCCCTTTTAAAACTGATTTGTAACATTCGGAAAATTATTGGGTCTTTCTTCCTCACTAAGAACTTACAAATGTAAACACCCCATAAAGCATTTAAGCCTGCAATTATTGCTAGTATACTTTGGTTTATTCTTGTTCAGAACTACCCCCCCCCATGGTACCTGCTGTCCTTAAGGTTCTGAAAACAAGAATCCACTGTTTTGAGACACAGGCCACGTTTGAAACGAGCGAAGCGCATGTAATTCATGACTTCATTCTGGTGGTGCTCATTAAGGCCTAGTTCTGCCTGTGGACAGGGATATAAGCACAAAGATGAATATACACTAAGTAAAAAGGAGCAGAAGCATTGTGGAGACTTGCTTTCTAACTAGTCTCTGTGCACATTAACTATACGGTAAAAAACAACCATATTTTCATACGTGTAATCCTTATATATACCTCACATAAGTGCTCCCCCTTTAAAAGTACCAGTACTTGGAAATAGGGCCTCAAGCAACCAGTACCCTCAGGAAAGTCATACAAAATCAGAGAGAGATGTGATCAGGGGATCAGAACCAGAAGGACTGTAGTTGGAAGGAAAGCTCTTGGATAAATTCGTCTTTGTAGTCCATGTATGAGTATATAATGTAGCTAAAGGATGTATAATTTATAGATGTACTAACAAAAGTACACAGGAAAATATGTCATGTTTCCTTGTCAGTTTAGAAGTAAAATCTTGAGGCTTCCCATATAATCTTAAGTGATAATTCGAATTTGTTTCTGAATAGCCCATTGCCCAGAAAAAAAAGCATTCCCAGGTCAAATTAGGAAGGAAGTGGTTTTAGACCTGGCTAACTATCCTTTCTATGTACGTCTCTGTTTCAAAAGGAGTACTGGCATGACCAATTCTATTAGAATAAATCTCACTCAAGCAGGCAGCACAACAGGGCATGAATGTGAGTTTATGACCAGAGTCCCTGCGGAGCTGATGCAACCAAAGGTGAAGTCCATTTCATTTACTGTAGTATTATTAGTTAGTATTCCTGGTGTTGGACACAGCACGTAGCAACTCAAGACAAGATAGTTAATCTAAGCACCTTCTCCTTGTTAATCCAGCTGCGTAGGGTCGCTCGAGTGAAAATGCAATACTGGAAGAACACCACTGAAAACGCAAGCACGAATCCCAACTGCCTGGAAATTAAAGGCAGTCTAGGAGACACCAGTAGCAGTACATAAAACAAGCTCTCACAACGTGGTTTCAAGTCTGATGACTCCCACAGTATTCCACACCTTGCAAACGCGAGATCATGTGAAAAGCTCAACTAATGTTTCCTTTGCTGTTGCTGGGTTTTCTTTAGATAAACGGTTTCTACTCGTTGCAGATGGAAAAGACATGCCAACACCAGTGCTGAAACTTCACAATCTAGAAAGCAGCCCCAAAAGAAATTAAACTCATAAACAAATACATAAACGCAGGCCAGAGCCACTCGTGATCTCCAAGCTGACGCGCAGTGAATCCAACCCCCCATCCCCACTGCTCAGCGCAGGGCCCAACAGGAGTCACGGCGGCGGCAGCAGCCCGCTG